CCCTCTTTCATCTGCCAAAAAAAAAAAAAAGCCAAAACCACCCACCCGCCCAAAGCCGGCAGCGTGCTGGCAGCTGCCCGCAATGCTCCTTCCGGGCGAGCTGCCGCTTTTGCTCCCTGGTCGCTGGAGGTGGATCTTTTGCTCGAGTGGTTTCTGCTCCTGCTAGCAAAGTTCGTCTCTGAGCTACAGCTGGTGCTCTTCGCCTGGAGGAGACGGAGACGACGAAGCGTCCCTCAGTCTGGTTTGGTCTGGAGCAGTTCAATCCTTGCTCTGATGTAACCAACGGGGCGGTGTATTAATTTTTTTTCCCCCCCTTGCTTTCTCCCAGGTGCAGCGAATGCAAAACCGTCTTCCACCGGGACTGCCAAGCCCGTGCCAAGTCGTGTCCCCGCTGCGAGCGCCGGCAGAGGTACCAGCAAAAGCTGGAGGTGGAAGCCAGCGTGGAGCAGAACCTTTAGCACCCGGGGACCCACCGTGACACTGCCCTGGGCTTCTCCCCCGGCCGGGCTAGCGCCGAGGGGAAGGGGCCGAGAAGAGACCCCCCCTGCCCAGGAGCTGGTCCTGCGCCCGGCCCTTCCCCGGGGACAGGGAACCGGCGGTACTGGGCGATGTGGTCTGGGTGCTCCTGCCCCCACGGAGGGACCCTCTGCCCACCCCGGGCTGAGCAAAGGGGGGCTGGAGAGGTGCGGGTACCCCCACCCCAAACTCACACTAACGCGGTGCTGCTGGGGGACGCTCCCAGTCACCCTCCTGGTGCCAAACTGGTACATCCCCTCCCGGTGGAAGCCCGGCGGCTTTCCAGGGTGTAAATCGGGATTTCCAATCAAGGGCGTGGATAACTGACATTGATTAAAGCTCTAGTTTTTTAGGATGTTGGATACTAAAAAAAAAAAAAACAAACAAAAAAAAACCCCGTATTTTTTTACGCGGGGGTTTTGCCCAAGCTGGCCGGCTCTGGGGAGGTGACGGCAGCCGCGCGGGGAGGGGACGAGGTGACACTTGTGCCTTTAGGGACCTGCGCACCCCCCAGGGGGACCGCGGGCGCCGGGACCGAAGGAGCATCTCCCACTCGGAGAGTCCACCCCTCACCGCGGCCTCCGGGAAGAGAGGGGAGAGCAGAGCCAGGCTGTTCCCCCCCACCCCCCTGCCTGCTGCTTTTAATCCTCGGAAGAAATTTTATTTTCCTTTCACCCTTCCCCATGCAAAAAGAATTAAAGTTTATTTAACGACAAGTGAAGCCGTCTTCAGGGTTTGCTTCTCTGCAGCGTGTGCAGAAACCCGGGTCCGGCCTGATGCTGCGTGTCTATGGAGGGAGGGTTGGGGAGGGGGATGCTGCCTGTCCTCCATCCTTCCTGTCCTCCCTCCCCCTGTCCTCCATCCTCCCTGTCCTCCATCCTCCCATCCTCCATCCTC